TAAATAAAACTTTCTATATAAATAAAATGTTAATCATAATTATGGACAACGCTCGTATCTAAAAGATATCGTATCTTAAAGATTTTATCGGTGAATATCGTGATACATATATAAATATATAATACATATTTGCTCAATGTACTAGTTAACAAGGACATTTAATTGCTCTACATTCGCTTTGCGTAATCAGTCAGCAAATCTGTTTAGGATATCTAAGACTGTCTCTCTTTTGCTAGCCTAAGGACATCGGTAACATTCAACCGTTTCCGAAGGTCCGAGAGGCTACGAAGCGTGGGGAAAACAAGCAGAACTGGTCTCGCGTGCGTTGTATTAAACTACGCAGGATCCTTCGATCGACTCGGCTCGCAATAATAATTCTCTGTTCTGGCGTGAACGATCTTTGCGAATGCTTCGTTCATCGCAAGGGTTAAAGTTCTCGATAGGCTACGGATGCGAATTGCTAAATTCAAACGCCACGAAGAAAGAAATGGAGATTACACGCAGAATCACTCTTTAGGTTGAATGTATATAATTTAAAATGCTAACTTTCATCTGAAGAGGGCACGATAAGGTTGCCAAAACATGTAATGCATACTTATGAGCGAATATTTGTATATACTCCTTCATTTATTTCTTTTGTGTATGTTTCATATTTTATATCTCATAATATTTCATCAAAATTATAATATATTTATATTCATTTAATTGTATTATAATCTTATAACATTGACTCTTACACGCCCCTTAATTTTCATCACTGTTTTAAAATGCTAAGATAAAACATAGAAGGATGTGTAATAATGGATTGGTGTACACTCTGAAAACAGACGCAGGAAAAGGTGGACACCTTCCTGTCGTGCTGCCCTCCTGTCGTGATTCCTACGGTTATTTTGCATCATAATCCCTTTGTCCATTAAGGTTACCTTGGGTAATGCAATGCATTCAAGTAGTTTAGTCGCATTGAATACGTTCCCATAGCGCAGAAGATTTTTTTATTAGAAGAAAATGGCAATTTTAAATAGAATTTTATTTTCATATGCGAGCTATTTCAATTTTCTATCGTACTCGATATGTATAAGTATACGTTCGATGTAGTTTCCGTTCTTGTGCAATTAATACACAATACTGAAACGGATTGTGTTCTACAGTTCCACAGCAAGTACACGTTGCGTCATAGAGTAATTTGATTTTGACCGAATCGCGGGTGTGCATAGATAATGATGAAAAGTTACGCAAGATTCCATCGCGATTGCGATCAAGGTGAAAGTCTTCGGGCTCGGTAGAGCGAGACTTAGTGGTATCAGCAGCGAGTCTCGTAAATTATAGGCAATGTCGTTGGAGAATGTCCTTTAACGACGAGCATCAAGGAGTCTTCTCTGCCTCGAGGATAATCGCGTGCTTCACGGTGGACTCGCACGTTTTTCATTGTTTTTCATGGCACGATACGGATTCGTTCCCGGCGATTTACTCGCCACGGCGTATAGATGTCTATCCCGCGAGTCTCCTAGGACTTTTAATGTACAATTATCTCGCGTTTATATCTGCGAGCGCAAATCGAGTCGCCTCGCATATGCACGCCTTCTAGGCAGATTAAGTCTAGTGCGTCATGTTGAATTTCACGGTGAGCTGAAATTTTTATCCTAACCGAAGAATATCACTTTTCATGTATGAAGAATATTTTTACAAAGTAGGTGGCTGCCTATAACAAGTTCTGTTTTAAGATACCTTTAAATACGTTTTAAGAAAAATATTAAGTAAACAAGGCTCAATAAAAATAAATAATGATACAAAAGAAGGGCTACGAGCCTAATAAATTCGATAATTTAACAAAAATATTAATAATTTTTACAAAAAAATTTTATATAAAAATCTATAAATTTAATAACCCTCAATTATAACTATAAAAACTACACTCAAATTCTAAGTCCTATTTAAATTATAAAATGCAAATGAATCTCCGTCTCTTACAACGATTGATAAAAAGAGATTCAAAATTTGTTTACCAATTTGGAACCTCATAGCATCAATCTTACAGATTTTACAATCGTCTAAAATTTTCAAGTCCAAATCGTTGCTGTAGTTGAGAATTAATTCAATTAAACATTTTATAATTTGCGCTAAATTTAAAAACAAAATTCTGTTTTAAAAGTGAGTAAGAGGTACATTTCATTACGTTAAATCAGGATTGACAAATGTTTTTCTTTTTTTTTTGTCACTAATGTTTTTTTTTTTTTTTTGTCACTAATGTTTTTTTTTTTTTTTTTTAAATAAAACATTATGTTTTTTTTAAACATGTTTTTAATGCTTCAAATACGCTTTAAACCATATTATAAAAAAAAACATATTTAAAACATTAAAAACATCAATTAAACATGTTTTAAAATGTTTAAAACATGTTTTTTACCAACCCTGCATTAAATCGCATGCCATTTTGTCACTACTTCCTATACGTATTTAATTATAAGTCTTCTCCTGAGAAACCAGAAATACTGAACGGTACTTGTACGTCGTTCTGGCTGCATTTTTTTTCGCGAATGTAAGGCGCTTTCACTGAAACGCGCAAGATTTGTTGAATACTTCTGTAATTTACACGTAATATTATGAAATGAGAACGACATAGTAACATAACAAAATGTATAGTTAACATTGTTCAAATGAAGAAGGAATTAATTCAATGAGAATTTAATTCATCATTTACACGATAATTATATGTTGGAAATATCTTACGATGTGGAAGGAAGTTGATGGTAGAGATTATAAGTTCCGCGTGATTGTTGTCACATTAGAAACGTCAATGTACTGACGTTAAAATTTATTTCAACACGTCTCTTAGCAAAAATTTGATTTTATATATATATATATATATATTTGTGAAATTGTAAAAAAATAAAAATTTCTTGTATGTTATATAGTTTCTATCAATATTATTCTTTTCCCAATAAATAAACATAAAAGATAAAAAATAAAATGAAATACAGAATGAATAAAAATAATCCTATTCAGTCTCAAGTTAATATTTTTATTGCTCGTTCAATAGGAGTGTGACGCAGGCCTTTGGAAGCGAATTTTTATTTATAAGAGGAAATTTCACGCTTGAAGTATTCAAGAGTGAATCTCCGCAGTTACACGATTTCTCAGATTGAAAAATATTAATATGCCACTGTCTCCGTGGATTATGTCAGAAGATCCTGCACAGAACCAACCCGGGTGAACGTCGAGCTCCTTCCTCGGAAGGACTCCCCGCATTGGCTCCGGGGTGAATCAGTCCTTTGTGCCGGGCACTCTCAGGGTCAACCACTTTCGGTGCAGTATATATCTCCGACGGTTTATATGTACACTCGCAAACACACTCGCCCGTCCCGAGCGTGCCTATAAGGTATCCTGAAAGTCGCCGCGTAGCCAACAGTCAAGTACCACTGAGCTAGCTAGAGGTATTTTCAGACTGATTCACTGCCACATCTTCTCGAAAGAGTGAGATAAGATTTAATCCGTGCGACTGTAGAAATCATACTTTTTACAGAATTAACTTTGAACATGTACATATATAGAATATTTATTGTTATACAGAAACGCAAAAAAATAAATCCAATATTACTTCTTTAAAAAATATATTTAATGCAAAGGAGCTAAAGTGACTTTTGATCTTTTCTCAATACGATTAAGAAACCGATTAATTAAAAAACATAAAAGTTCGCGTTCTTACTAGAAAAAAAAGATTGCATTGCTAGACAACCTCTCGCTTATTCTTCAGAACTGTTACTCGGTGTCTTTTTATGTAAACACAGATTAGAGTGACGTGACGTATTGTATTATATAACATCGCAATGCACGCATCCAATCGCATTCGTAACTATATCCAATAATGCTATAATGGGAAAAGGTCTCGTGCGCATCGAGCAACAAAATAAACCAAGCAATTCTCTGCGTTAAGAGTTCGTTAGAGCACGCGCATTCATTCATTTCTTAAACGTTCGAGGAGATTCATTTCGGTTCAAGTGGGTACTTCGAGAGAAACGACGATGTTTTCCATATTGTCGAGTCTGGCGGCAGTTAGAAGGGGTTAAGCCCTGCTGTTCCTTTTTCTCTGGTGATCCTGAAGTTTATTGGCTCGACGCGCTGTTCAAAGTCGAAAAAATAAATCAAATAGACTGCTGCACGAGGGACCGAGAGTGGCGGGAGATTCGCAGGAAACGCACGGAGGAGAAGATGAGGATGAGAAAGAGAAAAAGAGAGAGAGAGAGAAGCGCAGAGGAGTGGCGAATTCGTCTTTGCCAGCGGCAGAGGATGTTTCTCACGAAATTTCTCATCGTGATTCGCGAGCCTTTAATTCGAGTCGCTGCTGATTCACTCGTGACGTCTCGTAACGCAAGCGAAACAATCGCGGGCGATCAGATCGCAAACATCTTCCTTCTCTTTTAGCGATCCCTCGCTGCGATTAAGTCAGCGTTAAGAGGTAATTGATTTTTGCGTTCAACGAACAGGTTCAATAAATCGTTTCGCGAGGATATCGGTAGATAGGATACGCTGGCGAGACGTCTCTCTCACGCTTCTCGCATCTCCCTCGCCCATCTCGTGCGAGAAACTAACAAGTCAGCTTCTACCGCTGACGTCATTTTGGCATGGATCTACGTTAGATGGTTGATGGACTATCTCATCCAACAGCCCAAAAACTCTATAATATCTCTAAATAAAATTGTATTTAAATAAATAAGCTTATTCGTAACCTGATTGCGACCTTGATGAGAAGTGCAGAATGAGTTGAAATTTCTATAAAAGAAACTGACAAATTGAAAGTCAAATTAATTTTTTGTACTAATGTAGACTATAAATATCGAAATGTGATCGCCAAAATAACGCGTTAATCAATTTATTGCGTTCTAACTTCTTGTAACATCCACTCAACGAAATGAGTAATCTAATAGTAAGATTATAAGTTTATAATAATCGAAACAGTTCAGCGACTAATTCATGATACATAAAATCTGGCGGCTTGATTACAGAAACGAGACGCATGACAGACGACACCAGGCGGGCGTTATCAGGTGAGGGTTCAGCATCTTTCGGCGACGCGATCGAGAGATGTCGGATGCCGCCGGTACGGATAATCCGGCATTCGCCAACGAGGACGAGTGCGTCAACGGTTCCAAATTGGAGAACGGCGGCCAGCAGCAAGCGGCCTTGAACCAGGATCACAAGTCCTCGGCGGATAATGCGCCGGTAGAAAATGGCCACCAACGATCCTTCATCTCCCAACACTACGTCGAACCCATTAAGCCGAGCTCGGAGCCGTGTTATAAAACGGAAACGAGAATCGAAGTGCCGGCCGATAACACGGAGAAGAGTGTGTCGGAACCGAAGCTTAATGGCGTCCACGGGAATGGCAATAATAACGACGCGAGTTTCCTTAACAACAGTGCTACGAGCGTACAGATTAATGGTGAGTTCAAATAATATCACGTACACGATATTCCACTATTACGTGGACACACCGAGGCATGAACGTTATATGAATACCTATGAACTTTTGAAACATGGGCAAGGGCATTTGATAAAATTAGAATTTGTAGTAGCCGCGCTTCTAAAAGACGAGTTAACTGTACGTTTCTAGTCATGTAAATTTATAATGTACGAATGGAAGGAAAGGTATCGCAAGGAACCGCTATAGAAAAGTTTATCATCTTCCATTACCGTTGCCCGTAGGACACGATTTTAGTAAGAGCGAGACTTTCAATCGTTAATTACAGGTATTGACATTACTACCGGTTTGTCGAGAAAAAGTCGTTCATGGCCGATAAAATTCCAGGAAGTATCGCATCCGGGACTTTTCATGGTGGATCCGTTGACACACATCGCAATTATTAACGTACATGTCCTGATCATCTCAATCTCGCTCGTATATTTTAAAGTAACAACAGTAATTCCAAGTATTTCTTATCTAAATTAAATTAAACCGGCAATCTCTTCTTCTCATTAATTATTTGTTTACGTACATCTTATTAACATACAATCCTTATATTTCGTGCGAATATGCTTCCCTCGTTATGGCAGGAAACTCTCAGCCCTGTTTAGTCACATTACTATTTTGTGGAATGCGGTTTCTCCGCTGTTTCGTATGTGACCGGAAAATGAAAACCGGTTGCTCCATACGCGTAGATGTACCTCAATGGTAAACGGTTTCCCGTTTTCCCGTAGACTCCGGAAAGAAGGAACAGATCGAGGCCGTAAATCTGGAACTGGTCTCGATGAGGCCATACACGGGCAACAATATTCAGACAAAGGGTCAGGAAGCCTGCGAGGTACCAGCTGATCCTTACGAGGAGTACTTCGTGCCGGTTAACGAGCATCGAAAGTACATCAGGTAACGTGTTATTTGTCATAGCGAACGTGTCTCTGGCGCTTACGCATTCTTGATTTCATTTCTGGTTTCGCCTTTTAACTCTTGTTTAACAGTTTTTTTTTGTGGCTATCAACCAAACGTGCGAAAATTCTTCCGGATTTTAAAAACAGGAAACAGGTTTATAAAAAAGAGAAAAACATACGTCCTTATAGGATCTTCCAGTCATATGTACCGGATATTATGATCGTTTTTTAAACAATACTTTTTGTTATTGTCGTCAGATTTACAATTGAAGGTCATTTTTACAAGTACAAAAAGCTGTACTATGCGCGTAATAAAATGTTAATTACATTATGAAAAGCGAGAGTTTACCATATATATTAAGCATACCGACATTATCCCGGCGCGCAATAATTACGTTCCTCTCTCAATATTCATTTTAGAATAATCGTACTGCGAGCACAATGTATGTCATAGAGTTACAGTGATAACATCTAGAGGGAACATGTGTGTAGGATAGAAGTATTATTTCCTAGAAAGAAGCGTACAAGTATTCCGTTACCGAGGGAATCATCAGGCGATAGAGATATCTTAGCACCGTTTTTAACTCCAGTCAATAGCACATAGAGCTTGGACAAGCTGCTGATCGAAAAACCTCACATAGACAGTTAGACGGTGTTTTCTGTTGTCACGGTACTTAGCAGGGGTCCCGAGGCCGAGGTTGAAACAACCGTAGCTGGAGTGCGTTTTGATTTGGGCCCCGGCGTCGGCCGCGAGGGACTCAGCCTGAGAGATCCCGCCGCCGGATTGGTCGACTATTCCCACTGGCTGACAGCCCTCAGGTACTTGACGGATGCTTTCGAGGGAAAAAACAAAAAATAAAAAAGAATACAGCTGGGAACTGTCTTAGTGGAATATATTTCAGATCTCTTAGGGGCACGCGGTCGCGTACTAACATGCTTATGCTATCAGTACCTCCTCCCCCCCCTCGAGTCGAATCGAATACATAAATTTCTTCATAAAAATTGCACGTCCAAAAATTTACCCTTCGTTTCGTATCCTATCGACACCAAGATGGCTTCTCCAAATAAGAGAATCGATAACAATATATGAACCACAAAAATCGACATGTACTGCTGAACGTAGGAATCACCGTTAATTAATTGATCAGGATTAATTCCGAAATGTAGTACCGCAAACCAATCAAAACGCAAACCAAATCTAGCGACATGTTATCATTGATCTCAAAATCTAATCGGTGATACTTAAGCCAGAAATGCGTGCGGCAGGGGCGCTACATATGGTATATATGATCCAGAGATTAGGCATTAGACTGGGTGCGACCAAGGAAGCTTCTAATCCCATTGGCTGGACATTGACGAAGGTTGCTAGGAACCGCGTTATATGCGCAACGCTGTATAAAATACGCTTTTTGGGTTTAGGACAAGAAAGACATTACATGCGATATATTCATGTCTCTATGTGACAACGAAATTGTGTTGCAGAGGCGAGAAACTTTACGTTACGAAGGACAAGAGGTCTAGAAATTCGTACTGGAGAAGAATGGCCTGGGGATGTGCGCTGTTGGTCATAATAATTGCCGTAATCATCGCCATTTTGGCCGCAAGTAAGACGGCTTTTTTTATTCTTTTAATTCTTTACAAATTTTATTTTTACAAAACTATCCATATACTATCCATAACAATATAAAAAGAATATTATACATATTTAAAATTAATTAGACACTTTTTAAGTTTATGACAAAATTGCTTCAAAATAAAAACGTTGTGTCCTTATTTTAGCTGGTGTATTTCCAATATCAGCTACGGAACCCTTGGAGAACGTGGAAGAAAATAACACACGCCAATTTAACGAAGTGCAGGCGGCTGGAAGTCGAGAATATGTGAAAGATCCGCCATTAAGTCCACCACCTTTAACTTCGACTGTTCCACCGTGGCCTACAACTGACGAAACGCTATTCGAAATTGTACCAGATGCTCTGGATGGAACTTTGAGATTAGATGATTTTAACTGGAATGACGATTTTAGTGATATCAAATCTCGAGTATATAGACAAGTAAGTTCCGAAATAGAGGAGCATCTAGGGAACATTCTCCGACAAGCGGGTAGCACGTCTATAATCAAAGTATACGACATCAATAAGGAAGGAGAAATCAGATTCAGAATAAGTCATCCACCTCGGAATATACCTGAAGAGAGTCAAGAATATATCGAAGATGTATTACGAAAAAATGGTAATATGATCGGAGAATATCATTTAAACAGACTTCATGTAGGAAAGCTTATCGATCAATGTGAATACGGCAATCTTGAGTGTACCGGAAACTGTAAATACGATTACCCCTCTGGCACATTTGTATGCATCTGTAAATTAGGAGAAATATTACATCATGATGGCAAAACTTGTGTGGATGATAGCGATTTAAGTAATGTCGAAATGGATGATGTAATGCCACAATCCAGCACGGAACCAATTGATGATTTTCAAGGTAGAAGCAGAGATCCAAGCGCGATAGACTTCGAATCCAGACATTCCAATACTTGGAAAAATACAGACTTCAAAGATTCAGAAACAGATACATCAACGGCGAAGTCTAAAACAGAACACATTAATCCTGAGAAATCTGACATATCAATAGAACAGCAGACCGAATTTACACCAACGACGAAACACGTTTCTGAGAATGGTAATTCTCATTGGAATCATGAACACGTACGTCATCACTCGAAGGAAACCACCATTGAATCACAATCTCCCATTAAAGCTTCCCAAGAGCCTTCTACTGAACCAGAATCTACTGCTGAACCAGAACCTACCGCTGAACCAGAACCCAGTGCTGAGCCAGAACCCAATGCTGAACCAAAACCCAGTGCTGAGCCAGAACCCAGTGTTGAGCCAGAATCCAGTGCTGAGCCAGAACCCAGTGCTGAGCCAGAACCCAGTGCTGAGCCAGAACCCAGTGCTGAGCCAGAACCCAGTGCTGAGCCAGAACCCAGTGCTGAGCCAGAACCCAGTGCTGAGCCAGAACCTAATGTTGAACCAGAAATTACTGTTCCACCAGAACTTACCGTTAAATCAGAGTCAGAGCCTACACCTATATTAGAATCCGCTGCTGCACCAAATCCTACTTCTGAACCAGAATCCACTGTAAAACCAGAAATTGCTCCTGAAGTCGAATCGACTATTGAAGCAGAAACTATTACTGAAAGAGAATCTACTGCAAAATTAGTGCCTGTCACAGAATCAGCAACTATCAATGAAACAAATACTGAGGTAAAGTCAAAAACGGAGTCGCACCATTTAACAACAGAATCATACTTGAAATCAAAAACTGTAATATCTGAGCAACCTGAATTCTCTGTTAAACCAATGTCTCATAACGATACTTCTGAATCATCTACACAGGTATCACTTTCAGATGATGCTAGTACAACTGATATACTCAAATCTTTCATTGATTTAACGGATAAAAGCGATAATTCCAAAAACGATGAAACTCCCATCACAACTGTAAAGCCTAATAAAAATCCAATAGACAATGATACACCCTTACAAGTAATACCTTTAACATTTAAAGATATCAATGATAATGTAGAAGCTAAAACAACGACAATACAATCTTATAGTAAGGCTGATGAAATTACTGAAAGTACAATTATCGAAGCTGATCTTACTACCTTAAGTTATAAAGATTTAAAACAAAATGATGATGTAAAACCTAAAAATCATGAGGAATCTGTCACAGAACAATTTACACAAAATCCTAATCTTCAAAAAGATAAAGAAAGTGACTCTACTATAGAAACAAATTTGAATACAAATTTAAGCAGTACCCAGAATAGCAGCTCTCCAATTAATGAACATGACTTAATAACCAAGCAAAAATCAGGCATCGATTTAAATATTTTTGAACAGACTAGTTTAACTACTGCAGCAACTACTGTGCCAGTAAAAGAAAGAACAGAATCGACTACTAAATTCATGAATAACGATAGGCATTCATCGACAGGATATATCCATACAATAGAAATAAATGGCATAAGTAATAGAAACCCAGAAACAAACAATTATACTAAAGTACACGAGACAACTACGATGCCAGAAACTACTCCAACTGACATATATACTCAGCCAATACTTGGATACCGGGAAGAACTTGTACCCGAGCCCGCATTGCAACCAAATACGCCAGATTCGAACGAGAAAAATGTCATTGAACATATGCCGACGACGGTCTTTCCTAAAGTACCGGAAAATTTTGCCCACAATGTCGAGCCACTTAGGGAACCTATCGTGAAATCGGGAGACGACGAACATATTATGTTGATACCAAAATCCGAGGAACCAATAGAGATACACGCGATAATTCCACAACTCATTCCAGAAGCCACAAATAAATCTCGAACAGAAAACTCGACAACAAACGAGAATAAATCTGTAGAAGGTACAATCTCGATCGACTCATCTACAATGCGTTCTAATGAGAATATCGTTAATACAAGCAATAATAAACACGCGGCACGTCCCGATGAAATGCAAGAACATTCAACGAGTCATCCCCTTCACCCAGCGGTATTCCCAGAAAATTCAGTAGATCATTTCGCAGGAAAATCCGACGATCGACCGACTGAGGATATGTCACCATTCTTACCGGACGTTCATAAAGAAAAAGAAAGCTTGAAGAAACCACGCTTAGATAAGGACGAACAAGACGCTCCTAATCCTTTTGAAACTCATATCGATGATGTTATAACGCATCGGCCATTAATACGTAATAATGCAGAGAGAGTAAATGAAACTGAAACCAAAGATTTATTGAATGACGTTAATTCCATGAGTAATGAAAAGAAGGTAGATATCACGAAGAAAACCACACAGAATCATGAAATAAATACAACAGATATTGTAGGCAATAGTGCTAACACTAACAATACAGAATCTAAGATTCTGGACGTATTATATCAAAATAATTCAACAAAATCAGTCGACAATAATGGAACAAAAGGTATTACAAATCAAGAAAACGACAATTTCTCCGAAGATAAAGAATTGAAAGTGATTCCGTTGGCAGTAGAAGATAAGTCAGTAGATTCAATTTCTCAAACTACACTGCAACCTATAGATAAGAAAACAGAATCTGAAATTGTAACTTCCGCTGGAAAGAAAGTACAAGAAGTTGAAGGTATCGCGATAGAAAGCGGTGTGACAAGTTCAGAGAAACCAGAAGAAAATGCTGTAGAAGATCATTACAATGATATTACGGATGAGACCTTGTCAAAAAGGTATCGACACGATAATACCGATATTCCGATTAAAATTATAGAGTCATCCAAAAAAGCAGTTTTAAAAGACATTGACCCTAAAAAGAGTTCTTATAACGGTCCATATTCGTCGTTAACTACATTTGATGTCATAAAGAAAAAGAACGGAACAAACGAGAAGATACCTTCTGATACAACACAAAGTCCGATGGTTACGAAAACCGATGGCGTTGTAAACAATCAAATGGAAGATGGTAGATTGACCACACAAGAACCTGTATTGCCTATAGAAATTCAACAGGAAATGTCCACGACAACCGACAAAGTTGAAATCACCACCGTAATCGATAACGGAAAACATGAAGAGAACAATACGGAACCGCCGAACGTTGGTCAATCCGATGAGAAAGAAGCTATTGCAGCACAAATAACAACAACTCAAGTTACGCTGGAAACTAAGACTACAGCTCAGATCCCAATTTTGCCCGAGGAGCTACAAACGACAGAAAGCAATGTATTATCAACAACATTGAGTGAAGAGATATCGAGTGAAGACAAGAAAATGGAAACTATTAACAAAACAGTTTCAACAGATGATGCGAACAATACAACGAGAGAAAACGAAACAGAGAAAGAGAATGTTACCAGCAACGTAATGGATACGTCGGAAAGAAGCATGGCAGCGACTACGATGTACGAGAGTAACGTCAGCTTAGGAACTGGCCGGAAAATAGAATATGATAAAAATGGGCAGGCAATTGAAAGTGCTACGGAAAGCATAAAAATTGAAACTACTCCTATGACGTCTACAACGGGAAAATATATTGTGAGCGACGTAGACGGAACCTCGCCTACGCCTAACGATGTCACCACCACGGAAGATGTCAGACCAGTCACGGAAATGCTGGACGACACGGAACCAATGATTGATTACAGAATGTTATTCACCACGGTTCCGCCAAAACCGATATTAATTGATCCGGAAGTGTCTGAAGAAGCGCTCAGAGTGATACCGCTTGAAAAAAATCCGGAAAGCAAAAAAAAACCAATTGACAAGAAAGGATTCGATAAATACAAATACAAAAAAGAAAAGGACCTGAGTTTGGAGGATCAGAATGAAGACAACGTTTTAACGGAAAGGTTCGATCAGACCATACTTTCCCAAACAGAACCATCGACAATTACGACTGCAGACCGTGAGGAATTGCATGACAGTGTGGTAAGCTCGGATATAGACCCGAATGTACCCAGATTTACCGTAGCTGACAAGGAAGGCAATATTGTACCAATATCGAAATGGAAAGATACAGCGTCTAAAAGCGAAAATAAGGATGCGGTTGCAGAGATGAAGCCCAAAAATTATCCTAGCTTTATACCGGTATCGGAAGAGATAATAGAATCAGTACCGGTTACGGAGCCTTACGTAATCATACGAAATTATACTCGTCCCATGATCATATCGAACGATACAGAAAAAATGTCTGCAAATGAGACGATAGTCGAAGGTCAAATTAATACAAAAGCAAACGAACCGACTGGGCAAAACGCCACCTTTTTTGATCAATTATTCAGCGACCATGAAGAAGCGGAAGTAGATCGTGTCACGGAAGAATCAACTACGCAAACTTCAACGATGAAAGCGGAGATCGAGAATACCACCGCTAGCAGTCCTACGGAATTTCCGTTTCCTGGGAGTCTCTCGAAATGCTCCACAGGCCAATTTCAGTGCGTTAACGGAACGTCTAGGAACGGTGCGTATTGCGTACCACAGTCCGCCAAATGCGACTCCGAAAATGATTGTTCCGACGGCTCGGATGAATGGAACTGCGAGGTAGAAAATTGTTCGAGTAATTTCCGCTGCGCCAATGGGCATTGCCTGAAGAGGCACCTTGTTTGCAACAAGATCGTGGATTGCGACGATGGCAGTGATGAACACAACTGTGAGAACTGGCAGTGTCAGTCTGAAGAATTTAGATGCCCAAGTGGTAAGTGTTGAATACAATCAATATTCAAAACGATATTATGAGAGATCACTAATAAAATAATAATGGAGAGTAATAAAATTCAAATTCTTGATTGTTTGTTAAGACCAGAGTTGGGTAGTAATTAGTTAAAAAAGTTAAAATAACTAAAAAGTTAATAACTTTTAACTTGACTTAGTTAATTTGAAATGCATTAATTTTTAACTTAATTTAGTTAATAAATAATAATAAAGCCTGTAAGACTAAAATAAAACATTTGAATTTTTGCTTTCATGATCGGCAAGCTTAAAACGCGTGTAAATGTGAATACATTAATGTCTGCTTGTTGTCATTTCATTAATCAACAATTACCACGCGGACTTATAATTATCGTCCGAGATTCTCAAATTTCTAATTATCATAGCGGTGTCACTCATGGTAATACTCGTCTTTAAGTAATGAAATTTCTGAGTATTAGAAAACGCGTCGTTATTCGAGACAAAAGATTCAAACGTATTGCGAAAGCTTTCCCATTCAGTGAGTTTGACGGAAAACCTTGGCAATTCGTGGCGATCGTGAGAAGTTTTCATGGGAAGCGCGTGTAATTGAATCCTCTCGATAGGATTGATCATGATATTATTATGATTATTATTATTAAGACTGAGGCGACTTATCGTGTCCCGCAAAATGTCTCAGTGTAAATGTCTTCATAAGGATCTCCACGAAATATGAAATGGTCGCTTGCTCTTCGGTCGTAGCTTGCAGTAGTTTAACGTGTAGATCTCGACAGGAGGCACCCGTGGGAAGCTCCCAATATTAAAAAATCGATTTTTTTCTTCATGCATTCGTTTGCTCATCGTTTGCTCACCCTTAATTCAAAAGATATACGAAATTTGGGGGGCCAACTTCACACTAGCCCTCCAATCGGTTGCCATTGCAGCTTACTAGTGCGGAACGCATGTTGCAGCGACCGCGAGAGTGAATCACGAATAAGACACGAAGAAGCGCATGTTGCGGTGTTCGCGAGAAAAGTCACTTATAAGTCTATGGCACATAGAAAAAAGTTTGGCCGTAAACATAATCAGCAAGCGAACTGACACTGATGAGAAGCACGTGTTGCAGCGTCAAAGAGAAAAGTCACTGGTGCGAAACGCGTTTTGCGGCGTTCGCGAGAAAAGTCACACAGCGGAGCGCGTGTTGCGGCGACCGCAAGAGTCTATCAGTCAGAATCCGTCCACGTTGCGGCGATATCGGACTACGAAATTAATCCTGCTCGAAGGACCAAATTGTTGTCGCGCGACGCGGATTCTCGATAGATTATAGTTGGACAGTTCTAACTGAATTTTTATCACGCATACGAATTCGAGCGATTAGCGGATCCACCTCACTTGGTGGCTTTTGATTGGTCGTTGCTGTCAGCATAGCGACCAAAAGAGGAAAGACAATGATAAGGTCATTACAAAATAGACAAACATATATTTTACATCAAGAAGAAGAGGAAGAATAGCAAGAAAGTCGAAGTAATATATGCGTAATATATCGAATCAAACGATCCAGAAGCCTCATTTATCATAAATATCCTAACGGAATTCTGAATAAATTTAGAAAAAAACTCAATGATTTTGTGATTAGAAACCCTATAATAAACGAATTACATCATACGGTAGTCACTTTGATTGGCACTCGTTAGATTTTATCAATTCCCGCTTATATTTAAATTACATTAAAAAAAATTCATAGCATAGATGCCATAAATATTATAAACTAAGATAAATAATGAGCATATACCACTACACTGGGTCTTTTTTGTGAGAAATTGCCTTTTAATATAATTCAATTAATCTGATGGCGGGTCGACGTAATGATATTCTTCGTAATATTTATCTACAATAATATATGAGAGGTCTATTCGCAAAATTCTCGTAAGTGCTTTGATACGCGTATATCTCTTTATATAGAATCTCGATCAAACAACTATCTCAGGCGTATAAGGTAGGCTTCCACTACAATGCCTTGCTTATGAGTCCAGTAGTGGAAGCCGGGACGAAACGCCAAAAAATCAAGTGATATTCTTCGTAGTATATTAGAATAAATTAATGAATATGGTCACATTCTGCAGGACTGAAAAACGTTTTAAGATGGTCACATTTAGGACCGAAAAATAACGTTTATTTAATTGAATTATATTAAAAGACAATTTCTCACAAAAAAGATCCAGTGTAGTGGTATATGCTCATTATTTATCTTAGTTTATTTTCAAACCACGTAAAATCAATTAATATAGTCATAAATATTATATTTCAGCAACATAAATATGAAATAAGTCTTAGATGAATAATTTTGTTGTAAAACAATGATGTACAACCACCATTTTTCTAAATTATTTACAGATTTTTTTAATATGTCATTCAACATATTATTAAGATCCATGATGCAATGTGTGCATCAAAGTTGTTAAGATTGTTAGTCAATTTAACTCATGATAGTACTGCGGTAGTTTATTAGTTTGCGTTATAAGTCTGAAAAAAAATTTCGACGCATATTTAGAGATTTACATACGTAGTATATAAATTCACATGAAAATTATATTACAAGCTTCCAAGATCTAGCATGATCGTAAATGGCTTATTCTCATCGGTATTTAGTTTGAAATTTTCACGATCCAAATAAGATTTGATATTAAATAAAATCAAAACAAAGAGCATACAGCCACATCGCTAGTTATAATGAGCAAATGTCCTTTATTCAAAATAAACGTTAAATTTGTCTATACAGATTTGATATTGCTTCTAAATTTTCATATATATATTTTTTGGATATAACTTATATGTGAATAAAAAAAATAATTTTATCTAATAATCTAAATATTGTAATTATTATTTAAAGTAATTTTGTTTTAAGAAAAAAATTAATTTCTTGTTTCTTCAATTTTTAATTAATTTTATTCATTTTTTTGAGTTATTAACTTTAACTTAATTTAGTTTTAAAATAACATTAACTTAGCCAACCCTGATTAAGACTTTCAAACAGCTTTTTAATTTTGAATAGAATATTAGTTATACAGTTTTATTATATGTATATGCAAAAAGGTTTAATAAATCTTAAGCATATCGCTAATGAATAATAAAATTTAATAAATACCACAATAATTTAAATATTTCAAATATGTAATACTCTCTTTACCAGAATCTGGATAGAATTATGAAATTTTACAATTGCAGGAAGATGCATTCCGGGATTATGGCAGTGCAATGGTCGGTCCGATTGTGAAGAACATCAGGACGAGTACAATTGCACGGAAACTTGCGGAAACAATGAGTATCTATGCCCAACGGAAAAGTGGTGCATCCCACATGCGTGGTACTGCAACGGAGTTGCCGATTGCGTTAATGGGGAAGACGAAAAGTTATGTGATTGTATCCTAGATCAATTCAAGTGTCAAACCGGCGGCGGATGCATCCCCCGGAACCAGGTCTGCGACGGCATCGAGAATTGTCCGGATCATTCGGACGAATGGAGTTGCCTAATCGCCAATATTACTGCGGATCAAAATCTCACTAACGCAGAAACGGATAGCAACACGGCGAGCGAAGCGAATCGCGTGCCATTTTTGAAGATAAGGTATTTAAATCATACCGAATAAATATAATAAGTATCAATTGTTTGTTTTACTTATTTCTAAATTATCTTTATCAATTCGAAACCGCAAATCAATCAAATGTTTTATTAAAGAGAAAAAATAGTTCAATATAAAGTTAAAATGTTAAAAAAAAGTCGCCAGTTGTTGGTGTAAAGAAGTGGTCAAACTAATAATTAAAATTTAAAATATTATCCAATATGTTATGTAAAAATATACGAATGTTTTAATCTTAAATGGACAAATTTCGCCAAAATTATTCCACATTTTAGAACATTTCTGTGAAATTTGCTGACAATTTGTTAAAATTTCTCTGAAATTTTACTAAAATTTTGCTAAAAATTAATTTTTCAGGTGAAAATGATTAAAGCTAAATTAAAATTTTTCTAAAGTGTTCAAATTTTACTGAAAAGTGTTTCAAAACTTAAAATAATTACAGCAAAAATTTCTGAAAAGAATTTGGATTCTTTTCAGTGTAACAATAAAAAATATATAATAATAAAAACGTTAACAAGTTGTAATCTCTTCTCCTGATAGTTTCCTAATGTCAAAAGAGTTAAGGTAAAAAGATATAAAACAAGTAGAAAGATTATGCTTCTAAAATGATAAAATATATGTAACAAGAAAAAATAGTTATAAATAATCATTTTAAAAAACCCTAATTCTTTTTATTAGATCGAAATGAGTAACTTTTTAGGCAAATTATAAAAATATGTGCTCTTACATAAAATAAGAAAAAAATTCCTTTATAGGTATTGAGAAACGAAAAAATAAGTATTCTAAAAATTAATAATAAGTATTCCATATGCTTTTGTAATATAAAAAAGATATAAAATTTCGATGTCCAGACAATATGATGGCGACTATCAACTAGTGTGCTCGGACGGATGGAGCGAAGAATTCAGCGATTCCTATTGTCATGCTTTGGGATTCGCCGGATCTGACGAGACAATCGAATCGTTCGCTTGGGATAGAAGCCAGAAAATTCTAAGACTGAAGACAAACCCTAATTATCACCTGCCGCTAGTCACGAACTTAGAGGAAATGGGATTTTGCGTATCAGACAAGGTCATACAAGTGTCGTGTCAGAAATTCAATTGTGGTCTGCATAACACGGACGAATCGATCGCGAGATCAACAGATGACACTCCTAAGCAATGGTCTAATATAGCTTTGTTGAAACAATCGGAAGAAGGGACCGTTTGTACATCCAGTATACTCGGTCCTATGCACGCACTAACTAGTTATTCCTGCATCAGGTAATTTGATACAAAAATGAGTGTATTACTTTATTTACAAAGAGATAAACCATAAAAGACAGAGAGTGCGTAACGTTTTCTTGATCCTATGATTTTATTTCGATTTATAAAATATTTATTTCGATTTGTAAAATAGAACACATTCCATTTTTGACATAATATGCAACACATTATAGTAACGTTGATTTACTTGTTCCAGTAAACACAAAGAAAACAGTGGATGGCAGCTTTTTGCTGGTGGAAACATGTTAAAAGGAAACGCCGTTAAAAACATCATCCCCTATCCTCGAGTGAAATATAATCAGTTCCTCTACAATAACGACATCGCTCTAATCGAATTAAGAGAGCCGTTAATATTTTCCAAAAATGTTAGCGCCGTATGTCTTCCCAGACAGTCGATCCAGGTACACCTTCGACTAAATTTTCTGATAAGCTACGCGTAGCTAATTGTTGTTTAATTAACACATTTCTGATATAATGTGATGATTTTTCAGCCGGAGCAGACTTGCGTAACGGTAGGATGGACATTCCCTAGGAATGGAGAAGTGAATTTACAACAGATTCTTAAATTCATACATGTTCCGATGAATAATTCCGAGAAGTGTAACGCCGCGAGTCATTATGCAGGATTCCTCACGAAACATGATATATGCATAAATAAAGATCCTTGTTACGTAAGTTTAACAGAAAGTGCAATTCTTACATTTCTATAATTATTTTAAAGAAATAATTTAAAAACTTAAAAAACTTCTGTGAATATATTAATCTCTTTAAAAATAACCGTATTTAATTAATTCGATCATTGTAACTATAAAATATACACCATTGTATCACGTAAATCGTCAATATGCAAAAACTTAATTTTGAAAATTAATTAAAAAATGCAATATTACCAAATTATTACAAACGTGTATTATTGCGTTGAGAAATTATAATTACATATTAATGCTAAATCAATTTATATTTTTAGTATGACAAAGGAACGTCGCTGATGTGTGCCAGAGAATTGCAGAATGCTTCGGAAAGATGGGAAATCCAGGGATTATTAAGTTATCATACAGAATGCTTGGGGAGTCGTCCAGCCATTTACTCGAGCTTAGAACCAGCGCTCCCTTGGTTGCGCGAAACAGTGCCAGCTTTGCAGACGCAAAGCTAAATCATTGTCATAACAATTTATCGAGGATAAGAAGCCGGTACTTCATGTTAGACAAGAGAATCACACAGTTTTAATAAAAAAAATATGATAGTGATTTTCTCTCTATACAGCGTGTTTGAGAAGTAATGAAAAATTCTGTTGTATAGAGGTAGAATGGACTAAACTGAGAAGAAAAGTTCTCTACCATTTTACAATTTTCGCAATAGGTTGTTTAGCAACGACTATTGCCACTTGTTGTAAACAGCGCGTGCCTAGCGACGGCGAACACAATATTTTTATAAATTAATATCTTGTTAACTATTGCGAAAATTGTAAAATGGTACAGGACTTCTCTTCTCAGTTTAGTCCATTCCCCTATGCGACAGAATTTTTCATTCCTTCTCAACACCCTATAAATATACATATAACTACGACAAAAGAAAAGTTCGAATCGATCTCCCTAATTTTCTTTGTTCTTGAAATTTCATATTCCATATTCATTTACTTTTGCGTCTATTTTCTTTTTCCAATTTTAATGTTCCTATTGATAGCACGAACAGTGGTGAGTTATCATGAGAAAAACTTAATTGTTACACGACAGATCGTAGGGAGAGCGAAAAACTCTACAGAATTATGACATTCGTAATGTACGAGAATTGACACTTGTAATGAAAATCAAAGACAAAATTATACCGACTTATAATTAAGGAATCATTATGTAAATATTGTATAAAGTAATTGTTTATTATATGGATAATGTGGTATAAGAATTTATTAGTTTAACGGGTCTCTTAAAGATATTTTCCACATTCTTGCATTCAAAATTTCTACTTATTAGTCTTATTACTATTTACACAAAATTCATTATTGCCTCATTTGAATTAAAATATAAATGATTAAGACGGTCTAAATCGAGCTAAAAAAAAATGGATATTACAAAATTACTTATTCATCTTAAAATTATTTACATTATGTTGAAAAATGTTGAAAAATGTCACATTTTGTATGTTTCGGGACTCACAGGTCCTTCTTCAGCGATTCTTAACAGATGTTTGCGTCATTCATATGAAGCGTTAAAGACATATCTTAATTCGGATTGATATTCCTGTTCTCAATGCAATTTCTGACAATTAGAACAATTGTAAGAGAAAATTATTTGTTGTATCGTTTATTCTGAAAGTTTTTTGTGCTATTACGTTTATTTTTCAATAAATCAATTTTCACAATAGGCTATAGAATTTTGAACATTTTATCTTCTTTTATCAAAGTCTATGAAGACAAATAAATTTCAAAACCAAAATGTTGTGTACAAAATTGATTGTAAAGATGAACAATTTTAAGATGAATAAGTAATTTTGTAATATCCATTTAGCTTGATTTAGGCCGTTTTAATCATTTATTGCATTGCAAAGAAAAAAGAGCAAAATTTATTAATTAAAATATAATTTTTATGATAATATACTTTGGACATTTTCAATACACTCTATATACATGGTGACTCATTTTAATCGATGGATCCAAATATCTCCTAAAATACACCAGCTATAAAAAAATGGTTGGGACAAAAATTGTCGAGGACAATGAGGGTCATTTATCTGTGCTAATAATTTTGACCTTCTAGTCGATTTTCAAGGTTATTTGAAGGTCAAGGTCATTTTTTTAAATAGAAACCCCTATTTTGACATCGGATTCAAAAAGAACGGGAAATTTTACGTTCGAAATGATATTTTAGAATTTGTTATTGTGAGTTTAAGAATTTTAAAATTATTAACACAGATAAATGACCCTCATTGTCCTCGACAATTTTTGTCCCAACCATTTTTTTATAGCTGGCGTATTTTAGGAGATATTTGGATCCGTCGATTAAAATGGGTCACCGTGTATATCAATTAATAAGATATAAGGATATCTAATTATTTAATATGAGAGACCGATACATATGCATGTCCGATTACATACAAATCAACAGTTTGTCTCAGAGATCCTAAATAAGGATTTCTGAAATGAACAATGGATACACTTAAGCAGTAGATAGGATAAATGTATATAATATATAACTATTTTTTAATAAAATGCATTGTTATAGAGATTAAACAACAAAGTATGTTCACATATATACGTAGTCATTGATGAATGCGTATTTTTATATATTTCGAGCAAAAATAGTAAATAAATGTATTTTAAACATTTCTGATATTTTTTTTTATTACTGACCAATTCGTTTTTAAAATCATTCTTTATAATAAATAAGTTAAAAAATAAGTGATAAAAGTGATTTTGCACTATAAAAAAAAATAAAGCAACAATATTAACTTCTATTAAAAGATAATATAAATTAATTAATATTTAGATAGACCGAACCATTATCTCGTTAATCATCCGTCTGTTTCTTCGGTTTAGCTGCTATTTCTGCAGCTGTAACTGCATTATCTAAAATAATTAATGACTCCGATATACTATTTATAACTGCATTATATTTAGATAGCAGATCATGCACATGAGCATCCAGTTCTTTGGAATCCTCGTAAGTTTCGAGATACGACAGTGATAATTTGTTAAGTGTTTTATTTAATTCGGGTGCATCTTTGATACGTTCTGATTCTAACACAGGCATAAGTTCCTGTACTTTGTTTAACAGCTGGTGGTTTTCCATAATCTCTGGCTCTATTGTCAACAACAGCTGTGCTTTAGCACTCGTGGGCATATCAATGTCTTCACAAGTAGGCTCCAAATAACCATTTAATTCTGGCAAACGTTTGATAAGCGCGTTTGGTTTTTCTCTGCCTGACAATGCTGAGCTGATTAATGAATTGACATCTGTGAGTCGATCAATGATAGCGTTTGGTGGTGCAGGATCATCGATATTCATCATCTTGCCAAGTCCATACACTTGTTTCTCTAAATTAGCAATTCTGTCTTCTAGCAACTTGATGGATGACATCTCGAGAACTAAAATACAAAAGCATCAACCTTTACAAATCGTTATTAAAGATTAATCTATAATTAAGAGCCTCTTGTTTCTTGCTTTTTACTTTTTAGTCTAATCTACAATGTACTCCTTGTTTAGTAAGCCACATTGGAGTAAGCCATCAAAGACTGGGGATATCTCAATTCCTAAACAAGAACTGTAATACAAAACTGGCATTGTTTTCTTTATCAGGAATGAGATTAGCTAATGCTGTTTTACTTCCATAAGTAGAAAAAAAATCAAAAATGCCATCGCTTGACTTCCTTTTCTCTTGGACTGTAATTTTCTATAGATTAGTAAAAAAAAAAAAGGTAATATATTATAGAGCTCACTGTTGCTCTTTGTTTTTCACTTTTTTCTTTTTATGATTCTTTTAACACTTTAATTCTGTTTGTTGTCACATGTTTCTTGTCTCTTCTGATGTTTGTCAACTTTATTTCAGGCAATAGAAAATGAAGAAGTAGGATAACAAATATTTAAAAAAACAAGAAATAAATAATAATAAGGCAAGAAACAGAAAACAAAAAGTTCATTATAGATTAGATGCTTTAAAATACAAATGAGACAAGAGATGTATGTACAAGTCAATTATTCTGATCTTCATCATCCTTAAACTCTATCTTTGCTATTTATGCAAATAATTAAATAGTACTCTTCATTAATCGATTAAAGAACCCTACAGTTTTCTTGTAAGAAAGTACTTTCGGTCAAAATGGCTGAAAATTTAGTATGTGCTAGTTTATGGTGTCTTGATCAAAAGTCTCAATGAGCATGTGGTTCTAAAATCAACAGGTTCTGACATTGGAGCTCAAAAATCGATATGGCCTCATATCGATTATTATGAAAAGCGAAATACCAAGATAATGTTAAATACCCTTCACCTCAATTACTAGATGCAGTCTAAAATGCACATAGGGCAGCAGCATGCCTATGATTATTGATTTATAATGCAAAAATGGTTACTGCATACTGATTGGATCAATCTTTGAAAAAATCAAAAAATGACTATAATATTATATAAAACGTATAATACATGTTTATATTATGATTCATGTATATAAAAATATTTAATAAACATATATTTGAGACAATAAAAACATTTTTTATGTTTTTTATATACCAATGAAATATTTATACTGTATATTAAAAGGCAATATAGCAACATGTTACTTTTCATAATAATCGATATGAGGCCATATTAACCTTTAAGCTCCAATATCTCAGAACCTGTTTATTTTAAAATCGCGTCCCCCATTGAGACTTTTTATCAGGACACCATAAACTATCACATACTAAATTTTCAGCTATTTTGACCGAAAGTACTTTCCCATAAGAAAACTGCAGAGTTCTTTGTTTAAAAGATTAAATTGCATAATTTGATTGTTTACTGATAGTATATAATTTTGTATTTGTAAACATGGTAAAAAGGTACACTCCAAAACGTCTTATCCAAGGAAAATTTAATCAAAATATACAGTACACGTAACATATACTATGATACACAGAATAAAATTTTCCTCGGAGAGAACGTTTTGGAATGTAGCCTTAGCATAGTTATTTTTAATAAATGTTCAAACAACAAAAAGCAGAGAATGCAAAAAGTTTAACTTACGGAAAAAATTTTCATAAATTGCACAATATATATTGTCAATAACTGAACTATTTGCCGAGAAAAATCCACGTAAACAAAACCAGTAAGTAAATTTGACAGGCGTCAACAAAGGTTTAAGGTTATTCTTATGCGTGGGTGGGGAAAACTACTAAACTATAGGGAAAAATATTGACTGGAAACAAAAAGCACATTGTAGACCTAAAGGCCATGGCATGACACTCAAAAACTTAAAGGTACATTTATATGCAACTGTCAAGCAGCGAGCAGCAACCAATCAGCGAGGCGATATCAGCTATCGCGTAATGGTACGTTTCCACCGAGCGCGTCACGCGTCGCGTCGTGAAAGAGAGAAAGAGAGAAGTTTATATAAATACACAACCCTTCTCTTTCTCTCCTTCGACGACGCGACGCGTGACGCGCCCAGTGGAAACTCAGCCTGCGGCTGGAGTCACATGGAGCGGAAATTACAGCGGAACGGAACAGTGAAACCAATCAGAACTCTACAATTATTTCGCTGCTTTACTTTCTGCGATTGTGATTGGTCTCGCTGTTCCGTTCCGCAGTAGATTTCCGCTCCATGTGACTCCAGTTTTCAGGCTGTGTCTCCATAGAAAAAGAAACAGCGGAACGGAATGTGAACAGGACATCGTATACTTACACCATGCTATCTCTATTTTCTCAGGTGATCCGTGCCGCTACACCGGCCAATTGCGCTCGAAGAAACCGTTACGAGTTTCCGTTGTGTATGCGTGTTTGAACGATCTAGTGCACATTTGTCATCTGTGTACCGTGAACCACTCCCGTGTGCGGTGTTTTCGCGATCCTCGGTAAATTGTGCACAGATCTCAGAGCGGACTACGCCCTTGCGAGGTATGTGACCGGAAGAGGTAAATTAACGAGCGGGCGACGATGGTGGCAGGTCACACGAGGTCACCCAAGCGGCGATTGCGTGCACCGAAATCGCGAGAATAAAGAATGCCGAATATGTCGACCGCAACAGTTTCGTAGCAAAAAAAAAGCGAATGGAATGCCATCCGTCTCGGGATCTCCTAGAGTTCGGTCATATTATTCCGCCCGTCGACTTTATTTATTTCAATTTCGGACAACGTGCCGAATTGCAATGCAATCGCTATTTTAACATTCCTCTAGTCTCCAGGGACTGATAATACTCGTGATAACCTGCTCCTATGTTCATTTGTATACTAATGTAGCTTAACTTTAATCTCGGTTTAACTTACTTTTTATCTCGTTTCAGTTTTAAGAAACAGGAAAAGATAAAAAGGAAAACCGAGATTAGAGTTAATCTACATTGGTAAAAAATGGATCAATCCAGACTTACGACTGATTACAACTCGTTGCTATGCTGGCTCTTGTTATTATGCCGCATGGCATTGCTAAAGTATGCTAATACTTCAACACCTAATTTACTGTTCTATGCCTTCCAGTTAAAGCAAACGGAACAACATGGCTGTTAACGTGTACGCTACAAACATGACATCAGACAATCTCAGTCGCCACGACATGCTAGCGTGGGTAAACGACTGTCTGCAATCTTCGTTTACCAAGATCGAAGAGCTCTGCACTGGAGCAGTCTATTGTCAGTTCATGGACATGCTCTTCCCAGGTAGTGTACCATTGAAAAGGGTGAAGTTCAAGACCAATCTGGAACACGAGTATATACAGAATTTCAAAATTCTCCAAGGTGGCTTCAAAAAGATGAACGTGGACAAGGTAAGAATCTTCTACTTTCTCTTCCCACTGGCTCAGATAAAATTGCTTTAAAAAACAGTAAACAGGTCTGTTCATGTTGCTCATTCTTTTTATTCTCAGTATCTTCACTTATTCTCTCCTCAATGCCTTAATATATATTTATCTTATATTGAATACAAAAATTTTGATGGATTTTAAGCAATATGAACAGATCTAATATATGACAAGAGACTTATCTTCATAAGAATGATTTTATCCATAAAATAATTAAAATCTATAAAGATGATTATAGACAAATATATAAAAGGTAAGCCATTGTGATACACGCAATATAAACTGCGATGTTACTTCAAAATTGCATTTTCCCGCATGTAATAGCATAACTTTGTGCAAGGCTGGATGAAATCATAATGATACAACCGTGGAAATGGTTCAGGTAATACCAGTGGACAAGCTGATAAAAGGGCGCTTTCAAGATAACTTTGAGTTTCTACAGTGGTTCAAAAAGTTTTTCGACGCAAATTACGACGGTCGTGAATATGATGCTTATGACGCGCGCGGTTGCATACCGCTAGGTTCTGGCGTGGACGGAACGCATACTTTATCGAATCCCCAGTTGGTACCTTTACCACCACAATCGAAACCACAGCCTCAAATGCAACAAAGACAAATACAGCAACGTAACATCGTCCCGCGGCAGCAACAGGGTATTGTTGCAGTCTCGATTTTACGCGGCCGCTTCTTGCATGCTGTTGTATGTTTCTAATGATATTTTGCAAGAACGATACTACACATGTACAGGCACATGGCACATGCAATTTATAATGCAATATTATATCTTAATTTATATTAGCCACGTTATTTTAAATCTATGTGCATAAACATGTTACAAGCTACTTTTACAATGTTACATGCAAACACGCATACTTCACGTTACATGCACTCTTTAATTTTACATGTCATTCAGATTTGAAAATTAGTGCAGAAATCAATTCAATCTATAAGAAATGTATAGAGATATGTTGCATATATTTTAATTTATATATAAATTAGTGATAACGCATAGCGTTAAAATAGTTTTCCAATATACAGGGTGAATCTTAATGGTTATATCAATGTTTTACCTCCCCCCCCCTCTCTCTTTCTCTCTCGTGCGTGTGCACGTGGTCCTTTACGCTCTTCCCTGTTGCAGTTTGTAATTCATCTTCCATAGTAAAATTTTGGTACAGTTATAAAATTTACTTTGTACATTATGGCTGGTATTCGTAGTCCATTCTTATTGCAAGTAATGTCTTAAAATGCTAAGAAATGTGTTCATAATCCTCTCTTATTTCAAGACCGTTTTAAGTAATGTCTTAAGACGCTAATACAATCCTCTAATTGGTCCGTGACATTTTAAGACTGTACTTAAGACGGTCTTAAATATAAGATCTGACTATGAATACCATCCTGAGAAGGCTTACTGATTGATTCATGACATCTTCAAACTGTATACTTAAAATTAAAAATCTACTATAAGTCCTAGCTTATGTATAATACATAGATACATAGATGTACACATAGATTAGGATGTTAAATGTTTCACGTTTTATCCTAATTTTGTACAAAGCAGTAAGAAGAGTTTTACAGAAGTGTTTATTTAAAATAATGCCGTAAAGGAATTATTTTAAATAAACACTCCTGTAAATTAACTCTTAATATTAAAACTTGTTAACCTTTTAATACATAACCGTGTTCATTTAAGATTCCTTTATATTTATTATAATTTTGTTTTCTTTTCTTTTGTTGCACACATCTTCCACTCCTCCTTTACAGATTGTGCCAATTGATAGGCTGGTGAAAGGCAGGTTCCAAGACAACTTTGAGTTTTTGCAATGGTTCAAGAAATTCTTTGATGCAAACTACTCGGGAGCAGAGCCGTATGATGCGCTTGCTATGCGAGGAGGAGAATCTATGGGTAGTGGCGGAAATAATGCACCTCGTGGTGGTTCTAACGCGAAACGTTCTCCACGTGACACAATAAGTTCGACTAAACCAGCTCCTCGTACTACTGGTACATCATTTAATAACTTTACTCTTTGATGCAAAAAAAATGTTGAATTTTAACACCATTAAAAAGAATGGAATCTCATAATATGGAAAGAGAATAGATTTTTTTATAAATACAATTTGAAACTTGTACGTTAACACAGATTTTGTACTAATCAATAATTGATTTAATTGCTTGATTATCCTTTGAGACATTATGAAAATCTGACTGATGTTACTATAGCAGGCAAGGTAAATATTATAGAATAAATACAAAGTCAGTAGGGAGATAAAACGATCTGATAAATCTATCCTGTAATTTTATAAGGGATACATGATATCAATTGACATACTTCTCCGTGTTAAATATTTCAACAGGAGTTTCAATTATGGGTTATTGTATAATATCCCTCAATAACTTGAAATAAAATTTGCCTTTAGGTGAGGGACATCCATCTACCATGCGTGCAGATAGTACAAACTCTTTAGGTGAAATTTAATATTTCTTTTTGTTTTTAACTCTCGTTACTTGTATTTTGCTTCTCTAGCTCCGTATATATTTTAATATTGAGGTATATGAAGAAACTATTGAGTAAATTATGTGTGTGTTTCTGTGTAGTTTCTGTATTTATTGAATAAAACATTTTATTGAATATTATTAATACTGATTATCACAGTTTATGAAAAAATGGTTATTAAGACAGGGAAATTTAGTGAACACATAACTAAGAATGAGATGTGTAATTACAATATGTTGTTCCCTCACTCTGATACAAGTATTATAATTTCTATTAATTTACAATAATCGTCTGTATCAACTAGTCTACAATGATTGTCACTATCAAAATTTACACTATTATTTTATAATAACAGAGGATCACATTTCTTAGCACTTGCCTTGCAATTTTTTATTACAAAATATAAAAATTTTATTTCAACATACATATATGTTTCTGTTAAAACTTATTTATTTAGTTTCGGTAAAACTTATTTGTTATGTAAAATACACATATCGTGCATGATTTTGAACTGTATTTCTGCATGCCTTGTTTTGCTTGCACACAATATAGCTTATCTATTTATATATATTTAAGTAGCTTTGTTAATTTTTATACAAGTCAAAAAAATTATTTTAATTTTATGTTACAGAAGTATAAATACTTATCATTTTAAGATAGTATTTTAAACTAATGTATTTTTTTCTTTACCTAGTAAATAAAGTTCAGCAGCCGTATCGTGCACCTCCCAAAACCACAGTTGGCAACCGTGGCGATAATGGAAAAATTGAGGAACTTAGTGCGCAGGTATTGTATAATATTTCATTCAATAGATATTTATAACACAATAAATATTTTTTATATATTAATTTTATGTACTTTCCAATAAAAATTATTGAAATATTTTAGTTGATTGAACTGAAAGTGTCAGTCGAAGGTCTAGAAAAGGAAAGAGATTTCTATTTTGGAAAATTACGCGACATAGAAGTCATGTGCCAAGACTGCGACAACGGCGGCGATCCTCCACCTATTGTACAGAAAATTTTAGAAGTCCTTTATGCAACAGAGGTAATTTATATTTATATAATAATTCTGTGTAATTGTAAGAATTCCTTTGAATAAATGTTTTAATTCCCTATCATCTTTTTTTCAGGATGGTTTTGCACCACCTGAAGAATTGGAAGGTGACGGACTTGCACCTGACGACGAGGAAGAATATTAACCTTTTTTATTTACGGATTTATGATTGAAATGAACAACAGCAAATTATCCAAGTGCGTTTCAGTTTACCATGCCTGTGAGCCAGTATCATTACCCCTTGCATAATTATTACCTAAGTTATTTTACATGAGCAAATTCAACAGTTTTTGCGCGGATTGTGCGTACATTTTGTTAAGAAAGTTCACTGAAATCATTAAGATTCGCACAACATTAGAATAGATTTAAGTTGAGTAGTGCACTTGAATAACTTGTTCTTTATTGACCGTTGATAAAAGAGGGAAAGCAATGGAAAAAATTAGAAGATCAACTAGTAATCTATCACAAATTATTATAATTCTTTATAGCGTTAAAATGATAGAGTTCCGAAGATCAATGACTCTCAAATCGTCTCAAAAATTTATGTGGATACCGATATCTATTAATGCTATCTGCATCCGTACTGTTACGTAGCGACTTACGTTAACTACACATTTTTTTAATGCGTGAGTGTTGTTTGTAATTGTATTAAGTTTGATCGATAATGAATCATGAAGTCCCCGTCGATAATTTTGTTTTTTGGAATCAATTTATAATCATCTAAAACACATTAATCCTATTGAGAAGCTCAAACAAAAGCTGCTCAATTTGTTCTACTCGTTTTCTATGTGCAATATGCCCGATGAATTCAATAGTTTCGTGTAAAACAATAGATTCTCATCATCAGCAAAATAATTTGGATATACACAATATTAATAATTAAAATTCAATTCCGCTTTGATATTCTATCTGCGTCTTTCCAACATAGAAGCTACTGCATAACATATTTGTAAGAACATGTAAACACCACGCGCATATAGTCCAGATATTTTGATTTCAATAAATTAAACAGTGTGTGCTTCGTGAAAGCAAATTGCGAGACAAAACGGTACGCTTATGCACTCGATTACTGACTTACAAAGATATGAAAAATTTAAAGTTAGAGCTGATATTGAAAGATTCATCTATTAATGTTTATCCCGTATAAATCGATTTTAAAAAAGAACCGATCATGTTTGCATCTCCATGACAGTCTCTCGGGATATAAGAATGGCCTTAAAACGCGGTGAATTTGAGATTTCGATATAATACTCAGAATCGCACGAATAAACGCGAAATATTTCTTTAATTATATCATAGATGCACTGTCAATTATGACGCTGCTATATCTCATTTTCATAAAAAGAAAGTTTGTAAAATCCATACGTTCCGAGAGCAGACGAGTGAGAGAAACAACGAGCGAAAGGGTTACGGCATGTAGACGCGTTTTGCGAACGCTTACGTGTTTTTAACATGTGTGTGTGCTTTTAATATTATTGGTTTCGACAGTCGAGATCAACATTGATTATAGATGCGTCATAATCGAATTAATTTAAGCAAAAAGCGATTATATTGTGACAATTGTCTAGAATGTAATTTGCATTACGTGCTACATCTTTACTAAGTTCCAGTAAAGAAAAATACAGTTTAGCTTGCGCTCTGTTCATCACTCTGTATGCGCGCATATGTGCTTCAAAATTAAAATTTTTATGCCGATAAAATTTTAATGCCGAATAATAAACGTTTCATAAAATCGACCCGAATGCGGATTGTTTTCGAATCCTCGAATGTGTTCGAATATTTCGAAATATTTACAGTGAAAATAACCTATGTAATCATAATTTTTTAATTAAAATTCGCGAGAGAAGGTCATATGAGAAAGAAAGAGAGAAAAGTCTTGAATAATGCTAAATTACAATCGTGTAATTATCTAGTAGAATTAGAACATAAGAAACAAAGCTGTCTATCAAATCGATTATTTGTTGTAAAAAATTAATTTTGATGTAGACACATGATGTATAATAAACGGGGCATAAATTTTTTCATGTATTATTGCAAGATGTATATTAGGGATATAAAGTATGTTAATAGCGATAAACAATGAATTGTAAATCTCGTAATTAGCCAAGGAAAGAAACTTTATGAAAATGCGCTTCAAAGATTCACGAACAGTACTTTAGTTTAAAAATATTGCTAATAATAAAAGTATGAATATTTTTAACTTAATTTTCCCGAATTAATTAGACGAAAAATTTATATACTTCTATCAGTAAATTTGAGAAAAGTTTCATTTTCTTCTTTATATGCGGCAGATGCATTTCTTTATACTATTTTGCTAGAAATGTGTGTTGAATGGAATCTAGCAAGGAGATGCATCATGTTTCGCAGGTTTCATTCTCTTCTCTATAGAATTCTCTTTTGGGCTCCAAAAATCATTATGGGCCCTTACATATAAGACACCGCTTACATTGATGTGACGCTGATTGTTGTTACGTTACTGTCCGTGAAACTTCTGCTTTCCCAGTTCGCGCTCAGTATCTCACAGTCATGAAAGTGTCGGTTCCGTTCGCGTGTGATTGAGTACTCATCAAGAGTACAGCTTCTACTAGCAACCGCACAGGACATCGTTCTAAGATATTGCAGCACGTGATTGCGGCAAAGATCACTATTAGCAGCAGTAGCAACAATAGCTCTCTATCCGGTCTTTGTATTTGCAACGAGAGGTAATTAGAGTTAAAGTTTAAAAACAGACAGATTGCAAAAATCATGCTTTGTATCCCCTAAGAAGAAATTTATCAATAACTGATGGAAAAGTTCTCTATTATTCTGTGCTTTGAACAGATTGTTATGCAATGTATTAAGAAAGATTATATGTACCAATTTTTATATAACTGGAGAAATTTATTATTAATTAAGATTTTCCGTGATTTGATAAATAGTATTGAAATCAACTGAAGATTTATGTATCGATCAGTGATCCTATTTCAAAATCTGCCCTTTCTGACCCGAACATTATATAAACATTCGACTGAACTGTCTAGTAGAATCAATAGTACGTTAGATTTTAATGTTTTGAAACGAATTCTGTCGAGTCAGTCAACTCAACAGAGAAGAAATACATTTTTTGCACCTACGATTAATTTCTATTTTTACTATTTTCTCTCTAATTTCTCTTTAATTTTTGCGTTTGTGAGAAAATTCGTCACTGATGTTGTCAATGATCACATAATATAATCTTTAATGCCTTAGAAGATGCTTATAAATAATTCGATTATCGAGTAATTTTTGCATAATTTTTTTCTTCTAAAAATATACACTATTTGTAAGATACACACTTTAAAAAATAATTAATTTTACGTTATTATATATATAATGTACAATCGGGATAGCTTATTTGTTCAAAGCTCTGTTGAAATAGCACTTCACATTCTCTCCGCTGATTACTCATACGTATATGCGGACACGCTCACAAGTTTTGAAAAAAAAAAAAGACTACTTTTTCTGTTATATTGTCTATCAATAGACAACTCAAGGTTTGACGGTCAAGAAGACTGCTACACAAATCAAACAAAAATACGATAAAAGCCAAAAAAACACAAACTACGATAACTAAGTGACGTGTCACGGTGTCAACCAAGTTAGTAAAATAGCAATGATCGAACTAGAGTTTTACTAGACAACGTACAGACGATTCTTATGTTATCTCTCGGCATATAATTTACTTGTAATGTAAATTTACTTACTTAAGATGCATGCAATTCGATCATAATTTTCTGAAATCAAAGAGAGTACAGCCAAAGAAAATTTTATGAACACACTAGCTACAAAATATTACATTATTAATAATACATTTCTAATTTCTAAATTTTGCCCTCTAATCATATTTGTCATTAAAAATTAGAGCTTCAAAGAATTTTAATTTCGTCTGTTAGTAAATAATTGACACTTCATTAATTTAAAGTATTCTAAAGTTGAAATAATATTACATTATACATTAAGGCGCCCAGTTTCACAACACATGGTTAACTCTTAACCTTAAAAAATTAAGGTTTAATTTGTTCCTTATCTTTTTTTCTAATCCTAAAATTGGAAAGAGATGAAATAAGTTGATTTATTCGTTCGTTAAACCTCGTTTAAGAATTAAACCATGAGTTGTGAAACTGAACCTAAGGCTAAGAATTGTTTCACCCGTTCCACTTTTCGATAAACTTCAGCTCACTCTTTAACTCTTTTATTTTCTTATGTTCTTACTCTTTTACTCTTTTGTTTATTCATTAGATAAATTGTCACAAAGTTTATCCAAAGATGAAACAAAACTAGCCCTTGATTTAAAAAAATTTATGGGTCCATCAATTAAATTATACAGGTGTCCGGGAAAGAGACGAATGATACTTAATATTCTTGAGATTATTTTGAAACGAAAATTCTAATTCCACAAAATGTTGAAACTATATAACTTTTGAATTATAATATAATCCGTACAGCATAAGTTGCTTGCAGCAACATTGCTGCAATATGACTACAATGTTAAATGTTGCAGGAATATTGCAGCAATGTTGCTGCAACTTTTGTGCCGTATGGGAAGGGTTTAAAATTAACGAATCATATTATCTAAAGTTGGCGTGCTCAGGAGCGGCACAACGCAAAGTACTAAACGCGAAAACTTATTACTTCTTTTGTCAATATTGATTTTAGAATTAAATATAGATTTTATTCTATTGATATTTCTACAAATGCATTGTTCAAATATGCTTTAAACATTTTATTAAAATAATCCGGAGAAACTAGAAACTTATATATGAATATTATAAAATTATTATTTATAAACAATTGTAATTATTTGTACAACTTTATGATAATTAATTAACCTTATGATAATTAATTTACAAAATAAATTATGTATATTATAACAAATGTTTGAATTGTACTCCATTCATATCTCTATGCATAATATCTTGCGCGTCTCAATAAACTTTGTTGCGTATTGATTATTTATCATATCGATTATTATGATATGCTTGTAAAACTACTTCAACAATGCGATTGTGTAAGTTCTCCCGATTGCGTATTGGCTCCTGATAAATATAATTTTTTAAATGCCTCCAAAGAAAAAAAATCTATTAGAGTTAATGTTGTGCGCAGATATGCAAAACAATTTCCGATAAGTCAGCTTTAGGTTAGTACTTTGCGTTGTGCCGCTCCTGAGCGCGCCAGCTTTAGACGATATGATTCGTTAATTTTAAACGCTTGTAATTCAAAAGTTATTATAGCCTCAACATTTTGGTATTAGAATTTTCGTCTCAAAACAATCTCAAGAATCTCCCCTAAAGCGGCGGCCGAACTTGCAATCGAGGTCGATAATACAGTTTTGGTGATCCTGCTAAAAAATCTATGTCAAACGGTGCTGCGCGCTCAAATTAAGAGAGAAAAAGGACAGAACTTATGTCTATCTCTCTTTCGCCTGTTACTTTTCTCTCTCAAGTTTCTATACACAATTCTCGTGCTGTTTACCATCGTTGATCTGTGCCAGCGAAACGATTACACGTGAAACAAATATTTTGGAATATCTTTTTTGTTAGACCTTAGATGACAATTTCGCAAGCTTAGGATTATTTGTGCACGTCATACGCTTGGCGCGAAGGTACCATTTGGTATGTACGACCTACAGAATTTCTACAATAAGTAAATTATAATCTCAAGTGACAGCTGTAAGAGCTGACATAAGTGAATTTTTCGTTTTTTATCTCCAATTTTCTTATCAAATTTAGCGTTATCCATATCATTTTGATGTGTACTTTCAACGTATGAAAAAATTTCATGATCTACAAAGCCAATTCGGAAAATGGTTCACTGTAATTGTTGGTCATTCCCGTTGCTTTAGGATCTCCTTAAGACTAATTCTACAATGTGCTTTTTGTTTCCTGTTTTTTGTTGTTTGTTTCTGTTTGTCTCTTGGCTTTTTGATCAAGAAGGCAAGAGACAAACAGCAAGAAACAGGAAACAAAAAGCACATTGTAGAATTAGCCTAAAAGCGTCTCATTCGTCTTTTTCCCGGACATCCTATATGTCCATTAATAAATCCATTTAATTATTTTATATCCATTAGTCAATCTACACAATAAATTTTACATTATAAAGTTTCAATATACTAGAATTCAGAACAAATTAAAATTACACAATTAAATATATCAACATGTTTTGTTTTAACGCACACAAATGCTTTCATCCTAAATGCTTTCACCATTTGTCGCGACAAATTATAATTCTATAATAATCTATTAATATCAGTGATATATTATTAATATCAGTCCATTTGACATTCATTTGACATGCGAGATGAAACCTATTTTAAACATTAAATTGTCATTATCTGTTAAATTACAAAATTTTGTATGTGAGAAAAGTTTCTATGATAAGACATAGTAAATTTTTATCTATTATGTGCACTTGTAGTATGCATGCAGCACTTTTCTGACGAGGATTTAAAAAATGGGGGATATGCTCAATCTTGTAAAATAGAGCTAAATTAAATTCCATCATGAACATTTACCAAAGATCATCTTCGTCCATAAGTTTACAAAAAATTTTATCGCGTCTTTGTAAACAAATCGACACTGTAAAGATAAATTAAAATCTATCTGACTATATTATTAAAATATACCTTAAAGTTTTGTGCGCAAGCATTAAAGTAATTTAAGTTTCATTTAGTTATTTTTAAGTTTATTTTCTTTGCAATGTATTTGAAAATTACAAATTTTGTTTTCTTGAAATATATTATAAGAATTTTTGGATGTCTTATACAAATCGCCGATATAATATATATCATGTTTGAGCGAATGTAACTGCTTTAACAGAAATTGTACGCGTAAATCAATGTGTGATAAAATCCGTAAAACTTTTAGATATTTTTCGGTGAGATGCTAAAATCATTTGTGATTATATACATATTGTATTTTACCATGAGAATACGTTGTTATTGAAGATTTCTTTCGGCGTTCCAACTCTGATAAGCCGAGGTCGTGCCTTCCCGATAATAATTTATCATCATCACTTTCTTCATTGTCTATTTTACATTTCTGAGTCATTAGGGCTTAACGGAAAATTTTATTCATGTGTCTCTGATCGCGAAGTATCCACATATTGTCCCCATATATATAAATATTATTTAAATACGCAAGCATTCGCATTTTACAAAAATCCTTACTGAATCTATGTTCAATATTTGCTTAGATGATAAAAATAAACAGTCTAATATTAAAGTTACATCAACACTGTTATCGACAATCTCTGATTAAACATACTTTTTTATTTTTTACTCATACATTGAAAGAAAAAGTTCGATGCTATAGTAATTTATGACTGCTGCAACTAAAAATTATCTGCTGCAATCAATTAAAAGTGCTATATATGCCATATTCAGCTGATCTTTTCCTTCAGTGTAAGAGAAGAATTCATTTATAATCTCTTCACATGAAAGAATTGACCAACTTATTTTCATATATTATCCTTTTTTATTGTTATATGCTCTATAAAAGTTATAATTCTAATATTTCTTTTTTAAAGAGATCCGACACTCGTAATTTTATTCTCGCCTTAGAATTAAATTATAACAATTAAAGCGGACAAATCCATTTATGCTATTTCAAATGTCTTTCTAGGCATCGATCTATTTCCAATATAGTCATGGAAAGTTCATCAAACAAAGTAAGCATTTCACAATTATCGGTAAAGAAATACATCCGGATAAACGTCCAATTGATGGAGTAAAGTATTTATTCACTCGTGTCGTTAGGCAATCGACGAGACATCGCAAGAGGATTGTATTTGGATAGAATTGAGATTGTTGCAATCAATTATGATACAAAGTAGATTGGGCCAGACAATACTGAAACTTATTGATTATTTTCTGTGGATTGTAGAGAAATGTATGGAATGGAGTCTCCCTAGACAGAATATCAAAGGTGCGATTTACGAATCAAACATATATATATATATACACATATACATATATATTTTCAGGATTGGTAACGTTACCTCATAAAAATAACTCATTACCGTTACCGTTTTTTCCCTAAAATAGGAAGTTTTTGCAATACCGTTTATCTCAGATATCGGTGAACGCTAAAGTCACGTTATCTTTTTATTCACAACTAATTAAGAAAAGGATAACGTGACTATAGCGTTCATCGTATCAGGGATAAACGGTATTGCAAAAACTCTTTAATAACTCGTTCCCGTTACTCATTATTGATTTGCAAAAGTAACTCGTTACCGTTATCGTTATTCAAAATATAACGTATCGTTACTTTTTCGTTACTTTTTTTCTTGACATTAATATAATATTATGTGCAGATTTTTTTAAATAAATGTAAGGACATCAAAATTTGCTTTTTAGTAGAGGAATAGAAATAATAGTTAAATACTTAATATAAAAATGACAGTTGTGTAATACAAAAGGACTAGTAAGTAGCTTTAAACGGATTAATCAATGAACGGATGAATCATCGACTTTGTCTCACCTCCACATGGTGATTCCTGGATAATTCGAAGAAGACAAAAAATATGAATTCTAAATTTTACTGGTGTGGCCCACGGTATAACTTAAATTTCATATTTGGCTCATCAAAAAATTTAGTTGCATTTCCCTGGGTCTACATGCTTTACGTTAGCCTATAGATGCATTCCATTTCACGCATAATGCGTATGATACAGCCGCATAATGCGTGAAACGAAACGCAACCTATAAGTGTGAACTGTGAATATAATGTGAAAAAAGGCGTCATAATTACGTGATTAAGAGACCCAATCAAGACCTATTCCTTTAATGTCGCATCTCTGTTTTTTATAGCTCTAGTTAGGACTAAAACTTTTACGTGGCTAGAAATAAAGTAATGATAAAATTAACTAGTGAAATCGTTACCATTACTCCAAAAATGTAGCTGCGTTACCATAAACGTTACTCCGAAGAAAATGTAACGTGATCGTTACCGGAAAAAATAAACTTGTAACGATAACGACAAAATAACGTGTTACTTGCCAACCCTATATATTTTTTATTCATTATTTTAACTCTAAAATGATGAAAATGTATACTTTTTTCGACGACTGTATTGCATCAATATTTCAGATGAGAAAGATTCAAAAAAAATGGAACTCGTGCGACCATTGCCATGGCTTTTGTTCTTACCGAGCTTAATAATATTACGTATAATCAGAGTCATAGTAAATATAGGTGCTTCCATATTGAGTTATCCAAAAATTACATCAAGTGAAATGGTATGTCCATCTTTAGAGTTTAATCAACATTAGAATTTAATCAACATTCCTTAATCAAAACTGTATTAATTAGAAAAGGAAATAACCAATAAAAACAAACTTTATAACTCGTTGATTTTTCCGTTATAAAATGAATATTTTCGCATAAAGTTATTTAATATCGTCTGCTTTACTTCATTCACGATTAGTTATTTTGTTTTTTATTATTCAACTTATTATTATATATTAAACTTTATTTCGATATACAGGTAAAACTCGTGCAGAAATATCGTAGATATCTGCATGATACAATGAAGAAAAAGAAGAAAGAGAAGAAAGAAAAGTATAATGAGCTCAAGGTAAGATGTGCCTTTTTTTCGCCATAGTGAAACGTAGGGAATGTAACAACTGCAAAGATAATAAAATTAGCACGATAACAGTCTCGGTGATGGGTGTAGGACAAGAGATCGTCGATGAATGAGGCCAGAAAGGCCCTGATCAGATCTATTCGTCTGACTTTATCGAGCTTATCCTGCATGGATACATCCAAACCCCCTCCATCACCACCGCCTACCAAAATTTATATTAGTAGCAACCTCGATCCCGATCCAGTAAGTAAACGATATCGGACTTATCTTGTGCAAATGTATCGTAAATCACCTGTGTTCGATTGTATTGTTTTTATTGTATAATTACTTCAGAATACTATAAACTACCTTTTTCCAATTATTTCAGTCAAGTGTATTTTTATTGACATATTTTCTGTAAATGTCTTTCTCTCTGAATTTTTCGGAGTGAAATTATCCCACTCGAAAGAATTAAAATACTGCTACTATTGAAAAAGAATGAAAACATTTGCTCTCTTGAATAAGAGCAGCAGATTTTCATTCTCATCTTTTATTAGTAAGATTTCACATTTTTGAAGTAAGATTTACTCCCAAAAGAAGAAAGACCCGCTTTTTCCTCCCCCCCTTTTTTTTTAGTAAATCTCACTCTAAGAAAGAGTAAGTGCCATTCTTATTTTAAGAGGACAAATATTTTCACCCTTTTTCAATAGTGGCAGTATTTTCATTCCTTTAAAGTGAAATTTTACTCCAAGAAATTTAGAGAGTTTCTAATTGTTAATTCTAAAAATTAGTATTTTTTGAATTCTGAAATTATCATAAATGCGAAATCAAATGTATTCGTCATTATTTGGTTTCAAAAATTATATTCTCGCTATATTAAAACATATAATAAAGTATACGATGAATCAAAAAAATTTTTTAAGGTAACAACGACATCGGAAGAAAAGTCGGAAAACAAATCCGAAGAAAAGTCAGTGACAGAATCAATGGATTCGGCAACATCAAAAGACTCAAGCGAATCGGAGGACGAGAAGCAAGATAAGGAGGAAAGGGAGAAGAAAGAGTGGAAAGAATCTGTAAATGATAAGATTGATCGACTCGCTTTGGAAAATAGCGAGGATGATGAAGATTTTGAAGTAAGTTTCATATTTAACTATAGTGATACATATGTATCATTTATATAAAAGATTCGGTATGGGGGGGGGGGAGATGCCAAGTTAAAAATTTTATCTTCAAAAATTATTACATAGAAATTATTATATCACAAAATTTACCAAACTTAACAATATGTATTATTTGTATCTTTCCAAAGAAAATATATTAAAGTAATAGTTATTTAATGCTCCTTCAAAATATTATGACAAAATTAATTAATAAAATTATTATTATTTGAATCAGAGAGAGAATAGGAAGACAAAAAATTATTTTTAAAGAAAAATTAAAATTACTATTCTTTTTCTTTGGACTATGAAGACTTTCAATAAGAATACAAATAGTCTTAATCTAGAGTGAATATTTTTGTAAATATGTGTTGATTATTATATATTTCTGGTAATATTCTTTTGTAATAAATAATACCTACACGCACTTCCTCGATGGCGAACATGTAGAAACCTAGATATTTAATTCCTCGACGGCAAATACTTAGTTTCTTGACGCCGAACATCTAGACACTCAATTTCTTGACGGCGAACATGTAGACAACATCTAAACACTTGATTCCTCGACGGCAATTACCTAGACACTTCGTTCCTCGACGACGAATACCTCACTTCCTCAATGGCGAAAACATATAAACAACACCTTAACATTTAATTCCTTGACGACAATTACCTAGACACTTAAGTTCTTCAACAACGAACCAAGTTCTACCACACTCACTTCCTCGACGGTGAACATCTAGACACTTTCTTCTTCTCAACGATGAATACTTAGACACATAGTTCCTCAAAGACAATCTCGATATTTCATTTCAAACATTGAATAATTTGCGCCTTGCGCGCGTCACAGTCATCGTATATGTGGTCCCATTCAATGCTGATCTGCAGGTTAAATACATGACGTACAATCAAAAGCTATCTATTATCGAAAAAACGTACATTTTTCTCCTGGTCAACAACGTTAATAATAATGACGATAACAATGTTTCTTATAAATAAAATCTAAAATTCAGAGATTTGTGTCGTTTGTAGGACACGTAGAAAAAAAATAAAAGCACTTTTATTATACAATACAATGCAAGTGTATACATGCTATCGATTGAACGTTTATAGAACTTGATCAGTTCAGTCGTTATTGAGATTTGATAATCTCAATCTGTCGCAACTCGCCGGCTCGCGTAAAGTAACCACGGCAATCTCTCGTGCTATGACGCCACGCTTGGCTTAGCGCCGAGACATTATCGTGTCTCCAAATTAATAACTGTACATGTTTCGGCTAATCTTTAGCCACATTTAGTCGTAACGATTTATCGTATACTTGTATAATATAATTCCACTGATATTCCATCGGTATTGTTTGTTATGAGATCGTCAATCACTCTCTCATAGGAGTAAATTTCACATGTTTGTTTAATATTCATTTTATCATTCTGGACAATATTGATATTGTTAAGTTCATAATCCATTCAAACGGCATTTCACGTTCACAATCATTTTATGGATTCTATGAAAACTCGATGACTTGAATCTTCTTCAATAGATAGTCTACATTTTCAATTCTAGGAAAATGTAGGAATTCTAGGAATTTGAGGAAAGTCTTTTTTACATATATGTAAAAGAACTTTTATTTTACAATACCTTTGTTAAAAATGAACAAAATTTGAATTTATGGAAAAAAGTTTTAAATTAACTTGAAATCTCTACTTTTGAAAGGTTACTATATTTTTTGAATTTCTGTGAGTTTTGTAATTTTTATATATAAAAAACTATGAACTGAAAAGATGTAAAATTTTCTTTTTATACTGTATTTTTCACGTGCCCAAAAAAACTTTGCAGAAATTTTCGATTATCTAAAGCTTGAAGCTTTCCTTACATTCTACAAAATCTTTTTTTTTAATGTTCCTACGATTTTTTGTTTATGAGTCATTTAGAGTAAAGTAAAGAAACATTATTCTGATTTTAATTACTCATAACTTCGTTAAAAATCATCATACTGCAATTTAAAAAAAAAAACAGATTTTTAAAGTCGAAACTTTACTTTATTGAATGATATTATTGCAACGAAAATTTTTGCAGCAAATGGTGGGTTAGCGAAGGGTCACGTATGTAAAAGAACTTTTACCCCAACCTAATATATACATTTTACACGATAGAAAATATTTATCTGGCCACGTTTTTGATGTCGTTTTTCAGCCGGACGAATGCTCGTCGAGCGGTACGAACAGTATCGATGACGATGATGAGAACAGCGATGGTAATGTGTCCCTGAATGAGATTAACGACATAATTGAAGACGCAGTAACGTTCAAGAAAAATAAAAACATCGAGCAGTTTTTGCATGCCGAGCAAACTTCCACGCTAGCTTGTAAGCAAGAACCCATCGAATCGGCTTGCGAAAAGGTAAACACCTTCGAATAATGCTCTTTTGGATTGTCTTTATAATCGAAGGATGAGGAATAAAAGAAGTCGGTCCCTCGATGCTTGGCTGCCTCGTGTTTACTTGGGATTACGTTCTAAATGAGAGAAAGCGCATAGACAAGCGAAATAGGCGCGCAAAACCTTTGTGTTTTTTTTTTTTTTTTAATAAATTCTGGCGTACTGTATTTTTCAGCTGTTCCGTCAAACAGAACGAAATGCAAACAGCAAAATTTTATATCCGTCTATACGAAATTCGCTCTATGCGATTTTTCGCGCGGTATGAGCGAAACGGAATCGAAAAACGTTGATGACACTTTATGAACGGAATTCTTCATAAACGTAAATGTTCAACGAGCTTGTTCAACGTATTTAGAAAACGTCAGCCAAGGAGAGTCGCGATAAGGTAGAAGAGCACCTTGCGCCTTCGCAGCGCATCGATTCGTCAGAATGTTGTACGCCCGACAGATCCAGTCAGGAAGATCCAACCTTCTATTCGCCGATCAGCTTGGATAATGACTCGCCGAAGAAGCTGTTGATGTCGACCGTCAAACGTAAGTGATTCTTCGCACGTCTGCATCTCCTGTGGCTGTGATCTCTCAACTAGCTCCAAATTGGCTTTTCGCTACCTTACGCTCCTCCTATTGCGCTTGTGCCTTCCACTACATGTGCATTCGCTTTTCGTTACATCGCTTTCAAGTAATATTTAATGAAATATTGCTTTAAACACATATAATTAGTATGTGCATAAAATTGTTGCATCAATGGATTGTTACTTAATAATTACTATGTGTGCGTGTAATGATTATTGACGATTAAATCGTAAAACATGGTATAACCATCTACAATCTACGAGAGGCTGCTTATTTTACATATATTATTATATAATATTTATGATATACCCATGTTATTATATATGCGATAAATAATTTTATTTTATATTTTATATACGATTATATGCGATATTAATTTTCGACTTATTGAGAGTTTTCATTTAAAAAATGGTGTGGTTATTTGTTGTTATATTACTTGAATTACTTTATCCATTTCTTCAATACTAACGATCGTAAGACAATAAACTTAAATCATTTATGTTGAAGGTTAATTTTGTAAATGCGATTTTAGAAAGTAATACTATTTTCCGGCACCATTCGAAATGCTTATATGAAAAAATACTGTTTTGTACATTGGCTGTTTATTTAATTAATTGTTTTTTGCGAACTACTTAGAGAAATTCAAATAACTATAAATAAAATGGATTTGATTATAGTTGCACAACCGATTTGATACTTAGAACTTTGTATAAAATATACATATTAGCACCAACAAAAATATTGTAATTATATTTTTTAAACATTTTGTAATAGTTTTAGTACATGTCTTAACAACAACTAGACTTTCTAATCATTTCCAAAATTGTTGTTAATTCATCATGAATGGAAATTTCTCTTTATATTGTACTGTTTTAGTAAATGTTTAAAATATTGGTAATTGTTTAAGATATATATATTCCAAAAGAAAAGTAATCCATTAGAATTAAATCTCGCGATTTTATTATCCAAGTAATTGAACACAAATCAATTTCAATACATTTAGTACGTTTTAGATTCTTTTTATGACGTTAGAAAATATTCCATTATGTTGAACAAGTAAAATATGATGTTCGTAAATAAAAATCAACAAACAAAATTTTTTTTCTTTTATTCCATAATATTCCTATACAAAATTTAATTCATTCGAAATAATCCAATTATCAAATATCTTGTAAATCAGTAAAAATCGTTTTACATTCTGCTAAAATGATGCACGTATATTCTGCATTCGCGTAATATTTGATACATTATTCAGTAATGGCTATTTTTATATGTAATAGTTTTGTAGTAAATCGAAGAAGAAATATCATCGTAGCAACGAATATTATATCGCATACAATCGCAATATATCAAATAAATAAAATCAATTAAATTCTCAAATTATTAATTGTTTAGAATATGTCTCAAGAAAAATCTTAGATACAAAAGAGTTTATCAATGGCGAAGTACGATTTATCTCAGCATCAACCATTTCAGGTATAATATTATAGTTACACATTTTGCACTAATTGGTTCGTAACTGTATTAAATTTATTATCAATTTATTAATTATGAATTTACTTATTTCAAAGAGTCGACATATTTTTTAAATAGAATCGAAATCATCCAGGCAGACTGACAACGCAGTAACAGAGAAGTACAGTACAAACGTGAGTAAAGGACGTAAAGGTAAGCGCACGAGTCGCAGCAATCGCAAGAAAAAATAATAGATTGACAAAAGCAAAACAAAAAGAGAAAGAAAGAAGAGGAAGGAAAGAGAGAACGAAAGCTTTCCTCCGAGACAACAAATCACTATTGTAACATACAATATCGCGCCATATCGAACGTCATTGATAGTTACGCAATTGTCGAAGATTACACATGATTTCGAATGATAGATATCTATTTGTCGTCTAGATATAATGAGATATCAGGTAATGAAAACGTTTTTTTAAATAAAAGTTGAGTTTTTTAACAGATCTCCGAATCATCGCAGTCACCCGTCAATTATTACTCTCAAAATTTATTTAACAAATTAAGATGATGCTTGCAAATATTTCGTTTTTTGGACGCTTGCGTTTCTCTGGAAAATTTCATCAAAACTGTAATTATCCAAAGTATAACTGATTCAAAATACATTGTCATTATCACTTGAACTCAATCTATAATAATATAAATATAATTTGCACAATGTGAATAATGTTCACTAATCCTGAATCGCTTTAAATCCACACGTTACTTCACAATCACATTTTAAATGGCGAAAAATTAATTGGACAATCGTGTTTCTATTCATAACTCCAAAATGTACATGTATTTTGAGCGATTGATTTGTTTCTCGAACACAGAATTTCATTCTCGGTTCAGCTTTATGAAATTACGGAAACTTCGTAGATAAGCGGATGTAACCGCATCTAAATCGCGGTAGTACATTCGAAATAGGCAGGCATTATCACAGATTGAACGAAAAAAATTGACTGCTCCAATAATTTAAATGGTAAAATTGGCTGCTGTAACCGCAATCAAAAGTGCTATGCCATATTTTACCATATCTAAACTACTGCATATTTCTTTCAGTGTATTTAGATAAAATATCGTGTCTGTCTTTACAAATACGTAATTGCGATAAAATGAATATTGTTTTTATACATAATAATAGTGCAAAAGGTAGCGCGTGCGAAAATATGGTTAAAATTTTGCATGTTATCTCCGAAACTCTGTTGAATTGATTTTCTTTTTAGGCATACTCGCTTATTTATAAAATAAATGTAACAGTTGGAAATTAGCAAAAGTTTAATTTTTATCGACGCGCATGTATAATACAAACTTTTTCTTTAAAAAAAAAGGACTATATATTTTGAGATAGACATACAAAACGTTTCGTATCGCTTTCTATTAAAAGTCTTCTTTGATTTTTAAAGCGAAATAAAAAGATCATAGTACTTTCATACACTAATTAAAGCATTATCGTCTAACTTTTTAAATTTAGCATTTGATTTAAGTTACAATTATGTGTGTAAATTTGTTTGGCGATATAATAAAAATATTTAACGTTTATATTTCTTTTTAAAATGATCGCATTTCTGAGTCAATAATGAATATATTAGATATATGTATACACTGAGAAAAAATATCTTAATTTCAAAAAAATATTTTTTTTTATTAAGATGTTTTTTTCTTAGTGTGGAATAATTATTATTACAGACGCTTATCTCAGTTGCTTTTGTATCTGTAACTTTGATTATTTTTTATTATTATTACAGATCCTATCATTTCTTTGAGTCTATAATTTTAATTCAGATTAAAACGCAAAATATGCGCAAGATCAGCGCGGTGGTGTAATGTAAAGTTTTTATGTTTATAATCTCTATTTAAGGCATTGTAATGAGTTACATAATTACTATCTTCTTTTTTGTGAATGTATATTTAACAGAGATTATTTCATGTTGTTATTATTAAGTGTAGACACTGTTGATCTTACGATAATAAATTATTTAACCGTACAAATATGCTTTTTGCTGATTATTTAACGATTATTGCATTATTATATCAACTAAGAGTCACAATATGCATCGCCAATTTACAACCGATGATAAAATAGTCTAATCTAAATCCCTTATCTTCCAAGGCATAAACTTTTATGTTGCTCAAAATTATATCAATCTTTTACACGCTACGATTACAGCGCTCGCAATTTCTTTATCCCACCTTTTCATAAAATTATTAGAGATACCGCGAGCGCGTCCATTTTTGCGACGCAACACTTGTCCTTATCGCTTTAACCGTGATAAGCAAAGATTAGACCCATATGTTATAGATGTGTTGGATGAACAGATAAACGGTGTCACGTGACGTTCTGGAAATTTAACAAAAAAATTATACACATAACGCCGACATCCTGCAATTTAATTACATCATCGTAGACCGCATTATTAAATAATTTTCCTACAAATAGTGATTTTTACCATCTGACATCATTGATCTTTATACTAACGCGATTTTTCTTACTCGAGATGATGTCTCCCGCAATAATTACCGTTATTAATATTACGTTACGCGAAGATTGGCTTATCTGTGCAAATCACTGCATAAATAAATACAGATAGTGAGGGAAACAATGTTACTTTATCAAGTGCACTCGTAGCAGGCTTCGTTCGGTAGCACTTGTCGGTTAAGCCGCAGATACTTCATCTCGAGGGTCTCTTGTCATTAACAAATTGTACGGTACAACTGACTGTCGAGTAGTCAAGAACAATTGGCCGATTACTACCTCTTTAGAATTACTGTTCTTAATTGGAATTCATAGTTATATGAAATTTTTACTTTTTTATAATTTTATGCTGGAGTATACTCCAAATAACAATTTAAGGCGATCAACTATGTATACTATTATATTAATACTGAATCGTTCAATTTGATAATGAAATTTGATAATTGTACATAATAACACAGCAAAACAATATAATTAATAAAATATTGTATCGATAATAATAATAAAAATACGCTTGTGTTTGCTGAAATTACGCTGTGTCAGCAAAATAGAAAATCCTAACCTAGTAATGCACGATAAAATCATTTTACACGTGATAGATACGGCAATCTATAAATTTTCTTCTTTTTTTCTCTTTTACAGTTAAAGTCACAAATGACAGATAAAGATTTGCAGTCTTTTAATCTTCAAATAACACGTACGCGTAATAATGCAACGCGTTTTGGATATTTATAATCTAAATTTGTAATCTGATCTACATTACGTATATTTATCTAGAGACCCTTAAAAGAGTCTTTTCTTTCAGTGTACAAATTAATATAATAAATTCAATTTTGTTTACGATATTAAAAGTAAAACATTATTCTCTCACGTACCTACACATTGTGTACATAAATATGAGAGGTATATAGATAAATGTAGAGACCCTTAAAAGAGTCTTTTAAGGGACTCTTTTAAGGGTCTCTACATTTATCTATATACCTCTCATATTTATGTACACAATGTGTAGGTACGTGAGAGAATAATGTTTTACTTTTAATATCGTAAACAAAATTGAATTTATTATATTAATTTGTACACTGAAAGAAAAGATTGGCTGCCTGCAGTAATTTAGATGGTAAAATATGGTATAGCATTTTTAATTGACTGCTGCAACCAGTTAAAAATATGTTATGCCATATTCAGCATCAATTTTTTTTTTTTAGTATGAAGCTATTATTGTTTTCAACTATTATGGTTTTCAATTTATAAACGCATGATAATAACGGATTAATTATATATAAGAAAAAGATTACTTTTTGAAAAATGTATTTAAACATACGAAGCCGAGAAAAGTAATTATGAAAATGCATATTTTTTGCATCATCAGAGATCGAGGAAACTTGATAATATTTCGGCTCCTTTCGACGTTATGATTTGCGGTAGTCAAACTAATCTATGTAGGGTGTTATCACGCCGATAAGGTTGCCGGAGCTCCTATCAGGTAGCCATATTTTTGATACAATATATAGGTGATCGATATATTGCCACATAGTTCTCAGTAAAGTTATCACGAGTTGAGTGAGAGTTATACCGATGTTATTTTCCACGATAATTTTCATTAAATTCTTCGAGTGTCGAATCACTTCTTCAAAAAATATTTGACTAAATGATTCACAAGGACATTAAAAACAAAAATAAAAATTTTTAACTTAATATCAAAAAGAATTTGTTTGCTTTCCGACAAGTGGTGGACACGTTATTATTAGTTGATTATATTTATTTTAACGTAGATAAATGCTTGTAACATTAATTTTTCTAGAAGTTCTTGAAGATATATATAAGTAAGTCGCGCTACATCATATTAACATTTTCCTTCTTGCACTTTGTTTAAATTCACCGGAAAATTGGATTCGTGTCACAGACGTTGCCACAGACAGGAGGATATGAGATGTCCCTTTGCACAAAACGCACGTCGGATTTTCAAAGAATGTAAGCAGGAAATGTGGAATTATCTTTAAGCCGACAAGAATTTTACTTATTGAAGGAATATTTGAAATCGTCAAACAATTCTTTCGGTTATCTGTTCGATGAAACAACCGAAGGTACGTTCCTGACCGAAAAAGCCACGGAATATTTTTCAACTTTTTGGGTCGGATACAGAAACGAGCGCGTTTGTTAATCGATTTAGTGATAAAAAAAACCAAGAAAAATGGCAGCCGGATACGATGATTGTTACGACGCTTCTTGGCATTTGATACCACCCGATTATGTCAGCAACGAGGAGGATTACAGGTAAAAGAATAGCGAAAAAAGTTTAAAAGGCATAATATTCTGTGTAGAAAATAACAGTTAAAAATAGTAATGTTTAGCTAATTTTTAACTTTCACGTTAATGACTAAAACGGGATTTTAAACGATAACTTTAATTTCATAGTTATAAGATACGCGATAAATTAATTTTAAAGCTGTTTTACCGCATGTTACATCAAATTGAAAATTAAAAAAGCTTACAAGGTAAATTTAATGTCATTTATAAATAAATCACAAACATTCTAATATGAATCTATCAGATATTTAATCTGATTATCGAGGTAGAAAGATAAGAAACATGCTCTGTAATACTTCAACAGATTTAATATAGATATTACTTTATGAAAACACGAAAATGTCGTCGCCGTTGATCTCGAAATATTAAAAGGATTACTCGATCCTCGCGTATTTGCGCGAGCAATTAACATATCTGATTAAGCCGATAATACCGGAAACCGGAAGCGAACGTTTAAGAGCAGTCACGCATATCGGTTAGGCGAATCCTTCGGCGTAGAGTGGTACGCCTTGTTACACACCGGGACACACACGAGGAGCGAAAGGGCCGTGTGGTATGCCGACACCTGTTGGTTTCCATCATAAATTTCGGATTAATCGTATTCAGCTACGATGTATGATTCTCCTACTTCCCCGTTCGTTCGTTGCACCTGCAAGATCGCGAGATCGTCGAATCAAAGCATCACCGAATAAACAATTATT